GGAGAAAGTTATATTCTATATTGCAACTAATCTTTATGGAAACTACCACTTGTTGAGTTTTGGTATAGTAGCAAATAAGAATATCCACAATTACCTGAAAAAGCTATTCAAAGACTCCTTCCTTTTCCAACCATTTATCTGTATAAGGCTGGATTTTGTTCATATACCTATGTCAACCAAAAAACGATCTCAGTGAACATAGAAGCAGGTATGAGAAACCAACTGTCTTCTATTAAGCCAGACATTCAAAAGGCTCCAAAACCACAACTGATTAATTATAGAAGAATGTGTGCAGAACAAGGGAGATCATAGTCTCTATCTACCCTATACCAGAGTACAATGCTTAACTGGAGATGCTACATTTTCAATGCAGTATCCACATACTGGAGCACATACAGAGGGCCCCCATCAAGAAGGAACATTTTAGAAATCGTGACGTGGGGAAAACATCAAAGAACCTAGGACATTCACTTTTTTAAAAAGAGGACTCTGATGAAAAGAAAAAGAGGCAAGGCATGCTCTCTTGCCCGACTCTCACTTCCTTTTGGAGGGGGATGCTGGAAACTAGTTGATGGAATCTGATCTTGGATTGACATCCCCTGCCCTCAACATTCTGCTTTGTTATGTTATGTTCCAAGCTTCTGGGAAGACTTGAATTTGTGTCAAGTCTCCTCAGAACACTATGGTTAATTTCAAATAGAAAAATAAAATTTAAAAATATACTAAGAAATTTCTTAGAAATCTCAGAGGCATTTATATTAAATACTCCAAGTATAAATTCTGTAACAAACCAATAATTTACAAGAATAAATTACTTAGTACTCATTTATAATACTAGATTAACAGATTTCTCTTACTTGGATTTAGAAATACAAGCAGTTAAGTAAAAACTCACTCCCATTAACTCAAGAGAACTTTTTCCACTCTACTAGCTCAAAGGGAAATATTTTAAGAAACAATTATAAATCAAAAGCTACCAATTATTAAGCATTTTTTATGTATCGGATACTGTACTGTGCACTTTACATATACCTCATTTAATACTTACAGCAGCTCTATAGAGGAGCTTCTATCTTACATATAGAGAAAATGAGGCTCAGAGAGGTAAAAGAACTTGTTCCAGATCACACAGCTAATACACAGCTGAGCTAACATTCAAGCTCTGGTTGGCCTGATTCTAAAAAAGCTAAGGCCTCTGCCTGAACTGTCTCCCAGAGACCGCTTGGTAAAACCAAGTATTTGTGATAACACTTTTTACAGAGGATAATGATTTGGACTCAAACATTGGGAGACTGGGGAGTGGAGAGAAGGATGACAATAAATCTAAACAACTTGCTACTTAATAGGATTTTAGAATAAACTTTTCAATATCTTTATAGATCCTAGTAACAGGAAATAGTTGCCATTTTTATGTATTGCTTTCCTTCCTGTTTTAAGTTAAAACATGCTTAGAAATATAGACAGAGATGCCAAGCTTAAGTCCTACAAGACTCAAAGTTTAGAATTCTAACCCCCCTAACCAGAACCTGATAAAGAATACTTTGATGTACAGTTTAATCAATTTTTAGCAGGTACCACTTCAGCAACCTCAATTCTTGCAAACTCCAAGTTCCAACCTAATTCTCAGGATTGATGGTTTTAGCTTACTCAATGCAGTTAAAAATGTAAAATCAGCATTACTCTCCACTTTAGTGCCAACGGCAAACGATAAACTGGAACCTCATATAATTTAGCAGACTGCAAAACCAAAATACATCCAAGTTCTGGTACAATCAACTCTTGATAATTTGGAATTTTGACTTGCTTTTTGAGCAACAATGCAGTCCCTGATTCTCTCCTTGGCGGAGGACATGCCTCTACAGGCTGGGAAAATAAAGCAACTGTTCAATATTGCTTCCTGACAAGTGAACTGGTTATTATATACAACTATAAAATAAACTTATGGGGAATGTATAATTACAAAAAACAAGTTTATAGATTATGACTGTACATTTCAAATCTGCTATTCTTTTCACCTGTGACCCAACTGGTTTATAGGTGAGGCATCTTACCTAGCTAATGCATTTAGGCTAGAGAGAAGGTGCCTTACAAAAGTACCAAACAAAGTAATACAAGACTGACTTCTATAGATAATAACTTCTATGATACTTTAAGCATTGTATCTGAACATATGCAAACAGAACCGAGACATCTGTTGGTATGAACGTATTTCAAATAACAACTGAAATTATCATCGAGGAATAAGTGGTAAACTATCCTATCATCTTGCTAAATTTCAGAAAGCCCAATAACTGGTAACTTCTGACCTGAAAAAATAACACTGACTCTTTGAAATAGAAAGGCTTTGGCACAGACCACACCACTACAAGTCTGGTCCTCTGTGAAGTTTTCTGACTCACTCCAGGCACTGTCTAAATAAACACATAAATTCACTAACAGGTTTTAAAAACTACTTTTAAGAATCTGAGCAATATTTTCTATGTACTTTTACATAAGTATAAAGTCAAATGGAAAAATTCCAAGAAGTTCAGACGTAGAAGGCGCTTAACAATAAATGCCCTTCTCTCTTTTTATTTAGGAAGGTCAGGAGATGTAGAGTTACTGTTCATAGCAGTCTCTGGAGTCCATCTGGGCAAATGGCTAACATTTTCATTGTCTTTTGATACTTGAAATGTACCTTAAGAGAATTTTACTTTTGATCACTCTCAGGGCTCTTCAACTGCCAAAACTGACATCCACTAGAAGTCTACCTCAAATACCTCCAGTCACCAGAAGAGTTGGCAAATTTGTGAAAAGGCAGAATTAAAAAAAAAAAATCCCTAGACTCAGTATGACTTATTGTAGTCCCAAATCAAGTAAAATTCCTTGGGTACATCCTAAATGGAACTACTCTGTTTAGTGTAGTTTCCTTGGGCACTTCCAAATGAAAGTAGAAAAAAAATCCTAGTTATTAAATTTCGAGATGACCGAAGTACAAATATGATGTCTAGAAACTTTCCCCAAAGGCAATAATTTTATATGCCATCCAACATCTATTTCTTTTTTATTAGCAAATAAAATATTCTTTGAAATAACAGGTGGCTCTACTTCCATGTAACAGTGTCATGAATGGTATTGGGTATACTCCCTCACCAAAAAGTCTTTGTTTGAGCCATTCCCAAACCAAGATCATTCTACACCAAACAAAGATACTTTTGGGATTGAAACTCAGGAGACTGGACACCTCAGCAGGTACTATTGTGGTGTTAGCCTGGGAAAGTAATACTCTCCGTAAAAGCACACAAAGGCCAAGTGTGTCTCTTGACAAATAGCAAGATGTTTACAGCCTATCTTCTAAATTCTATACGAGGTTACTTGTATTAAAAAAAAGAATCTAGTGCTGGTTCCTGGAATTAAACACCAAAATCTTTTTATTTCACCAGTCAAGGATTTTTTTTCTTTTAAACTAGGCACCTAAACTTTATGTAGTCTGTATCTGACCAGAACCTGAACAAGGCTTAATGCGATTCCTTGTCTAGGTCAGAACGAGAAGCTAGGAAGAAACAAAATTTTCAGTCAGCAAGCACCTGTCAATAAGGAACTCTGACCCAAGAAATAATAACGAATGCTATATGATGTATGTTTTGGTTGGTCTCCCCATTTCTGGTTTGAATCGGACCCATTCCCGGGCTCCAGCAGCCAAACCCCTGCCTCACACTTAAGGGAGAAGGACATTGTCCCTCTCTTGGCCTCCCGACCTGTATTACAGTCAACTGGCCTTACGGCGAAGCGGGTCAAGGAGCCTGCAGTACAAGCAAACAAGAGGCCGAGACAGAGACCGGGATTGGAGCGGAACAGGCCGCGGCCTCCAACCCGCGCCGAAGCAGAGACCCACGCAGGCTCTGCTGTCCTGGGGGATGGTGTTGGAAGCAGGAGCTCGTCTTCCCGGGCGCTCAGTGCTGCTGAGGCTTGGCCTCGCGGCCGAGGCAGGGGGAAGACACGCCGTCGTCGGCAGGAGGCAGAGGAAGAAATCCGCTCCGCAAGCAAGACCTCGGGAGTCTAACCGCCGCAGCCTCGTCCCCGAGCGCGCCATTTCCCAGCCCTCCAGGCACCTCTCCCAGGCCTCCGCTGGCCCAGCCGTCCCCTACCTTCTGTCGTGCCGGGTGAGCGCGGGAAGGCAGCCGTCCCGAGGCCCCCGACCCCGCCCGCTCCCTGCTCCCGGCCAAGGCCCACGCACGCCCGCCTCACCCTCTGCCGCCGCCGAAGCTGCTGTAGGCCCGATCGTCGTAGGTATCGAAGTCCGCCATTTGCCGTCTCCGCTCCGAGAGGAACCAGGGTGAGCGAGGAAGGACCCCGCAATATAACTCCCCCCACCCCGCCGCCGGGGCTGTCCGCAGCGCCGCCTGATCGCAAATCGCACGCACGCGCGCGCGCGCGCACGTAAGCCGCGCCGCGCCCGGCCTGGGCCAATCCTGGCCCGGCGCACTGTGCGGCCCACGAGGTCAGACGGTGCGTTTGCGGCCACTTGGCCTCGCGCCCCAGGCCATTGTGTGCTATCTGTGCGGGATCACCCGCTGCCACCGCCTGCCCATGTCCCGCCCCGCCCCGCCCCACCCCACCTGTAGACGCCTTGCCCTCCCTCGGGAACCTCCGGCGGCTCCCTTCTCGCGTTCTCCGGGCTAGCCTCGGACACTGTGCCAGGCCCACTGCGCTTTCTGCTTTCATCTAGCTTTTCGTACTTCAGACCTGGCGGGAGACCCAGAGTCTTTCTCCGCTTGGTCCCACTCTGACACCTTCCCTGCCAAGGGGTCGCCGGATAACACCAAAGTAAGGGTCACCTCCTCCAAGTTGGAGACCGTAGAGCTGGACACTCGCTGAGAATGCCCAGGGGCAAAGGGCCTGGAAGGGGTGACATTAGGGTCAAGGTGCAAGCGTGCTAGTCGTTGGGGGTGCAGATATGAATCACCTTCCAGGGTCTGCTGGAGGCCTGGGTATTGGGGTGGGGTGCAGTATGAGATTAGACTGTAGAATGTCATTGAACAAGCAAAGAGTCCGTGCATCTCGCTTTTGCAGAAGTCACTGCGCTGGAAAAGAATTCAGTCCTGACGTCAATTCCATCTAGCAATAACAAAGAAGATACGTAGTGAAAATTAATTACACTGGTAATTGCTCAAGTTTGTGATTGAGGCTGTGGTAGTATTGAATACTCCAAAACCTAATGTGTCTAGGTACAATTTAAAAGAACCTAATACAATTCCTGTGCATATACCCAGTAAGTATATTAAAGAAAGTATACCCCGTAAGTATAAGCGTATAAAAATGCTTTTATATTTAAACATTTTCTGCTACTTTATCCCAGTACTGGGATTGACAGAGCAGCTGTTAACTCATTGTTTAAAATGTCTCCTTCCTTCCAAGTAATAAGACCTCTTAACTATCAGACCCAAAGAAACAAACATGTCTACTCTTACCAGCTGTGCGACCTCAAGTTACTGAACCTCTTTAATGTCTCAATTTCTTCTGCATAAGGAGAAGTTATTACCTACTTTCTCAGTATTGTAGAGATTAAACGAGAAAATGTTTGAAAATACCTGGTCTACAATAATCTATATTGAGCACCTACTATGCGTCTGGCAGCATTATGGGTGTTTTACATATATAACTTCCAAATTTCTTATATAAAAGTTATAGCTGTGGAAACACCCAGAGAGACAAAGTGACTTGCCCAAAGTCACACAGTCTTGAACTTAGCACATGGCTCAGAGAAGTGCCAATGGTTTCTTCTCTCTTCGCAGTTTAAACTTGGACCGCCCCCCATCTCTTTCCATAGCTCCATTACTCTTATAGTGCACTTAAATGCATTTGACTAAGTGAAAATCTTAATATTTACTCTTTATTCCAGTTATATTGAGATCTTAATATTTAGTATTGATGGCTTTACATTTTTTATTCTGAAGTCTTCTAGTCCAAAGACACCTCAAGGTGAGCTCCTGGAGGACAAGTACCATGTTGAGAGGGTTCCCTCTGCCATCTACCACAGAGCTCTGCATGAGAAGGGGGTCATTTATCATTAATGAAGTAAAAGGAGAGGAGACTTGGAGGAAGGCCTATGGGTGAGGCTCTCCCAGCACCATACCATCCATGGGTCATCCCCTCCTTCCTGGCTCAATTGCCATTTCTACCCAGCCATTACCCATGGCCAGTCTCGTGGGCCATACTTCTATGTAGACTGTAGGCCCTTTTTTCTTCTGTTGGTCTCCAGCACACAGTGTGCTTCCCACTCAGGATCCAGAGTCCTTAGGCCAACCCTAGAAAGTTTCGTAAACACAGTGACTGCCTCCATGGCAGAGGTGTCCAACCTCTCCTGAGGTTGTCCTCATTAGCTTTGTTCCTAATTTGTTTCCTAACTCCTTCCCTAGAGTAGATAACTCAGCCCTTACCAGTTCCTTGAGCCCTGGTCATGAGGGAAGGCAACCCTCCTTGAAGGTCCCACTCAGATACTACTTTCTCTGAGAAGCCTTTAGTCTGTTGGTGAACCTGTGGATTGCATTTCTAACTGCCTGTATTTAAATCCTGTCCAAGCCACTTACTACTAGCTGTGTCACCTTAAGCAAGTGTGTCAGGTTTTTTTTTGTCTGTAAATAGGAATAATAGTCATTGTGATAACAGTTTTCAAAATTCATGCTGTTTTAATGTTTTTAAATTTTGGTATTTTGTTAACTTATCTAAAATTTGAAATATGAATCATTTTTGTGTTGAGATTAAAATCAGTGGCAAATAGTCAGGTGAAAAGACACATCGATACTCTACAAATCTATATAGATCTATTCCTGTGTAAATCTTAATGAGTGTCATATCTAGCTACTGCAAAGCTTCTGTTACAGGCATGAGTGTTACCCTAGGTCAAAGACTTTCCAAACAAGTGAAAATGAATGCGAAAAAAATGGAAATTGACACATGAAATCTCCATATATACGTGATGAAAATAAAGAGGAAAAAAAAGTACTGAATATATATATTTTCTTCCTAACCAAAACAAAACTATAGCTTGCTAACACTAAAATGTGCAGATTTTGCAAAATAACTCAAAAAACAGGTCGAAAAAGATCACAAATATATCAAATAAGAAGTGGAAATATTTGAAGAAGGATGCTTCGACTCTGCCCCTTTGGACTGTTTTCCACATAGCAGTCATAGTATTTCTCCTAATCAAAATCGGTATGTGGGGGAGTCTGTAAAGCACACTGGTTTAGTGTGAGGGCTTCAGCACCAAACAGCCTGGGTTTGAATTCTGGCTCTCCAGTTATTGATCTTATATGATCTTAACGATGCTGTAATCTCTCTGTACTTCAGTTAACCTCTCCATAAACTAGAAAGGACAGTAGCACCTGACCAAGCCCCTAAAACAGGAACACAGGAAGCATTCTCTAAATATCAGCTGTCACAATTAAAAAAAAAAAATCAGAGCATGTCATTGCTTAGACCTTCTCATCTTTCTGAGTAGGAAGCCAAAGCCCTTACTATGGCCTATATTTGGTCTGCTCTCAGTCCCTCCTTTCTTCTCTCCCATTGCTCATCTGCCCAGCTGCACTGGCTTCTTTGCTCTGCTCCTCTAAAACTTAATGACTTTCCCACTTCAAGCCTTTGCATTTATTGTCTCCTGACCGCCACATGGTACCCACCTTCACTTCCTTTAGGCCTCTGCTCAAAGAAGCCTTCCCTAACTGCTCTATTTGAAATAGCAACATCCCCCAATTTTTTCTGCCCTGTGGTCCTTTTTCCAGCACTTGTCTCACCTGACTTCTCATCTATTAATTGTTTTCTTATTTAATATCTGTCTTCCCTGAGAACAGGGAGTTTTGCTTTCTGCTTGCTGATGAAGCCACAGCACCTACACAGCAGGGCCCACCTCAGAGGGTGCTCAGTAAATACTGGTGCTTCTCTGAAAACTGTAACCAGCGAAAATATTTGGAGTTAGATGAAAACCGTTTCTTCATTCCATTTTTTCCCATCTTTCAACTTGGGTAGCTTTGCAAAGAGCTGCAGCCACTGGAGCTCTTAAGATCCTGTGACTCAATAATGGTACCATTCATTTGCTTTATAAGTATTATTTTTAACAGTTTTATTGAGCTATAAGTCACATACCACACAATTTACCCATTTTACAATTTAAAATGTATAGTTCAATGGTCTGAAATATATCCATGGAGTTGTACAAACCTCTAAACAATTTGAGAACATTTTTGTTACCCAAAAGAAACTCTGTTCTCTTTAGCTTTAATTTATTAATCCTAACATTCTCCCCCCAGAGCTAGGGACTAACCAATCTATTTTCTGCCTTTATAGATTTGCCTGTTCTGGATATTCCATGTAGATGGAACCATGAAATATGTAGACTTTATGATTGGCTTCTTAGCATAATATTTTCAAGGTTTATTCATGCTGTAGCATATGTCAGGTACTTCATTCCTTTTTTATTGCCAAATACAATTCTATTGTGTGGGTATCACATTTTATTTATCCATTCATCGGTTGATGGACTTTTGTTTTTTTTCTATTTTTGACCATTATGAATAATGCTGCTATGAATGTTCACATACAAGTTTTTGTGTGGACATGTGTTTTCTCTTGGGTATATACCTAGAAGTGAAATGCTGGATCATGTGGAAATGCTGGATCAATAACTGTATGTTTATCTGCATAAGGAACTTCCAGACTTTTCCAAAGTAGCTGCACCATTTTACATTTTTACCAGCAGTGTATGAGAGTTCCAGTGCCTTCCCATCCTAGCCAGCACTTGTTATTATGTGTCTTTTCGATTATAGCTATCTCATGGATGTTGCATTTCCCTGATGGCTATGAATATCTTTTCGTGTGCTTAATGGCCATTTATATGTCTTATTTGGAGAAATGTATATTCAGATCATTTGCCTATTTTTAGTTATTTGTCTTGTTATTGAGTTGTACGAGTTCTTTATTCTAGATACAAGACCCTTATCAGATACATGATTTACAAAATTTTTCTCCCTTTCTATGTTTTTTTTCCACTTTTTTTATGGTATCATCTGAAGCATAAAGTTTAAAAATTTTAATGGTGTCTAATTTTCTATTTTTTTCTTAGTTGCTTATGCTTTAAATGTCACATCTAAGAAACCATTGCTTAATCCAAGGTCACAAAGACTTATGTCTATGTTTTTCTCCTAAGAGTTTTATAGTTTCAGTTCTTATATTTAGGCCTTCAATCCATTTTGAGTTAATCTGTGTATATGGTGTGACATAGAGTTCCAACTGTATTCATTCACATGTGGATATCCAGTTGTTCCAGCACCATTTGTTGAAGACTGTTATTTCTTTATTTAATTATGTTGGCACCCATGCTGAAAATCAGTT